AGAAAGAAAGAAAGAAAGAAAGAAAGAAAGAAAGAAAGAAGGGAAGGATGGATGGATGGAGGAACGAAGCCCCCGCAGGCAGCCCGCCTCCCTTTTGTCTGCCCGGGGAATGTGCCTCCCTGTGACGTCACCGCCGCGTCTTAGCCAATCAGAGGGCGCGGGCGCGTTCCAAAGGGGTGTCCCGGGTGGCTCTCTCCTCCCTCTGGATGCAACTTTTTCGCTCTTTTTGCATCCATCCACCGCTGTGGGATCCCTCCGGCGCCAGGGCCGGTATATAAGCCCCCCGCGGACCCAGAGCTCTGCCTTTCTTGCAGATTGCACAGAGGCAGGAGGCAGAAGAACGGTAAGGGGGGGGGGGAATAAAACTAAAACTAATCCTAATCCTCTGCCATTTATTAAGCTGATTTTAATCGCCCGCTTTGCAACTCATCCTGTGGTCTTTGGGTGTTGTTGCAAAGCGGAGGGAGAGCCACCCATCTCTTGCCAACCTGCCTCCTCCTCCTCCTCCTCCTCTTTCCCGCAGCTTGACTTGCCTGCCCGCCACCATGCCCAGCTGCCCGGCGTCGAGGCGGCTCTTGCTGGGGCTGCTGCTGAGCCTCTCCTTGGCGGTGGCCGGGGTCCGGAGCGCGCGATCCCCGGGGGACAAGCACAAGAGGCAAGCCCCGCAGCACCAGCAGCAGCAGATCCTCCAGCCGGCCCTGCCTGCGGCCGCCCACAACAAACGTGAGTGGCTCCCCAAAGATCTGCCAGGATCAGGGAGGAAGGGTGGGGGAGGACCCTGGGGGGATGGATCCCCAGGACAGACTGCAGAGAGAGAGAGAGAGAGAGAGAGAGCCTTTGGGGAAAAGGTCCTTGGGTGGATCCCTCCCCTGGATCCTTTGTATCGCCCCTTACAAGGGATCAGGACTTGACTCCAAGTTGATTCCAACCCATGGCCACCCTTGCTTAGGGAGATCTTGTAGCCCCTTTGAGACTCACGAAAGAAAGAAAGAAAGAAAGAAAGAAAGAAAGAAAGAAAGAAAGAAAGAAAGTTGGCAGCAGGAGCTTTCCTAGATAGACTTCAGTCTACTTTCTCAGATGCATTTGGCCCCAAAACTGAAGTCTAGGAAAGCTCTCATGCTGCCAACTTCTTTCTTCCAGTTAGTCTCAAAGGGGCTACAAGAGCTCTCTACATAATAATAATAATAATAATAATAATAATAATAATAATAATAATAATAATACCAAATGCATCTGAGGAAGTAGATTTTAATGTAGGAAAACTCATGCCGCCAAATTGTTTCTTTCAGTGAGTCTCAAAGGGGCTACAAGAGCTCTCTACATAATAATAATAATAATATGAAATGCATCTGAGGAAGTAGACTTTAGGAAAGCTTTCATGCTGCCAACTTGTTTCTTCCAAATAGTCTCAAAGGGGCTATAAGATCTCTCTACATAAATAATAATAATAATAATAATAATAATAATAACAACAAAAATGCATCTGAGGAAGTAGACTTTAGTGTAGGAAAACTCATGCTGCCAACTTCTTTCTTTCAGTGAGTCTCAAAGGGGCTACAAGAACTCTACATAATAATAATGACACCAAATGCATCTGAGGAAATAGATTTTAGTCTATGAAGGCTCATGTTGCCAACTTCTTTCTTCTAGTTAGTCTCAAAGGGGCTACAAGATCTGTCTACAAACTCTTCTACAGACTAATTCTGCTATGTCTTTGAATTCTACCCTTTCTTAGGGTTTTCCCTCAGTATGATTTGTTTAGAGAAGGATGGCCAGGTGTGTCCTCTATGCAAAGGAGGAGAGTGCAGGGCAAAATGGAGGACCTTCGAGACAAAGTGGAGAGCGTCCCAAAAGGAAAAGCTGGACACACTCATGCATACATACATACATACATACATACATACATACATTTTATTCAGTCAATGACCAGCAAGATTTAAAAAAGAGGTCCAGAGTATAGTTAAAAGTTACAGTAGTAAACTACAAAGTGACACATAGTAACAAAAGATTCACTCTTGCAATTTTGTTACTACATTTGTTACCTCCTTGAGTGAGCCTAGCACGTTAGAAATGGTATAATAGAATGTTAGAAGATAAAATGAAATAAAAATGGTAAATCCCCTGACAGTTTTTCAATTAAAAAAATTGGATTTTTTTAAAAAAATACATCATGTAAATGTGTGCTCCAAATGGAGAGGATATGTTGGAATCCCTCCTGGACTGAAAGGGGAAATGTAGGGCAGGTCCTGGAAAAGGAGGACCTCTGGTCAACCTGCTTTGACAAGGCAGGGCCAAATGGAGGACCATAGAGACAAAGTAGAGGGCATCCCAAAATAAAAAGCTGGAAACACTCATATATATGTATGCTTTTTAGTCCTGCTCTAAATGGAGGACATGTTGGAATTTCTCCTGGACAGAAGGTGGGAATGTAAGACAGGTCCTGGAAAAGGAAGACCTCTGGTCACCTTGGTTCAAAGGAGCTTTGCCATGGCCTTTTTAGGCTGAGAGGGTGTGACCTGTCTCCTGGGTGCATTGGGTTTTCCATGATTGAGCAGGGATTTGAACCCTGGTCTCCCAGAGTCATGATCCAACGCTCAAACCACAAACCACGGCACCAAGAAAGTTTAGGGGATGTGAAAACTTTGCAAAGCAAAACAAAAGGGAATGGGGTTGGATTGCCTGCCCTGCTGTGAAAATGCCCTCCTTCCTGGAGGTTTTAGGAACTCTGGAGGACATCTTCATTGTGCTCAAAATGTGTGCCTTCCCTTCCTAATTTACACCTGGCACTTCTTAATCTGATTTCCTGATGGAGCTAGACAACTTTTGTGATCCTAAGCATGGAGTGCGCTGTAGCTTCCAACTGTGTGTGACTGGGATGTTCAAAAACATCTGGATGCCATTTGTGTGCTTAGATTTGCAGTTGTTTATCTCTTTTGATAAACTTCCCCAAGCTGTTGTGTTTTTTCAATAACTTCTGTGCCAACGCTAGGTTTTGTTGCTGCTTAAAATGATGGTAAAGGTGAGCCAGTGTGGCGTAGTGATTTGCGCATTGGATTAGGATTCTGAAGACTAGGGTTCAAATCCTGGCTCAGCCACGGAAGCCCACTGGGTAACCTTGGGCAAGTCACATTCTCTCAGCCTCACAGGATGGCCATGGTAAACCCCCATCTGAAGAAACTTGCCAAGAAAACCCTATGATAGGGTCACCTTAGGGTTGCCATAATTCAGAAACATCTTCAGGGCACGCAACAACAAAGTGTTAATGGGTGAGCTTTCAGTGCTTCTTCAAGATGGTATGGAAGAAAAAAGTATGAGCGTCCCTGTCTGGGTTTTTTTAAAAGGAGAGGAATCCCCTGGAAAAAAATACATTCTACCCAAGAATGGAAACATTTGAGGCAACATTTGGGAGAATACTCATACTAAGTACCTATCAAAATGGGAGTGGGAAAAAGTGGGAGGCAACTGATGTGAAAGGAGCCTTTTTCTGTTACCCAGACCTGTGAAATGACAAAAGAGTCTTTCTTGGGTGGCAGAGTAATTTCATCACCTGGGGCCTTTTCACACTGTTGAAAAATGGTACTATGACTCCACTTTTATTGCCGTTGCTATTATGGAAACCTGGAAGTTGCTTGGAATCCTCCTCTGGAGTCTCTGCCCAAACTACAGACTCCAGAAGGAGTCCACAGGTTGCAAAAATGGCAGATAAAGGGGAATCATAGCACTACAATTGGATAGTGTGAGAAGGCATCTAGGGTGGAGGCAGGCAGGAGGGACACCTAGTTATTTGGGTTTTTTTAATGGCATAATTATGTCCCAACTTTTTTTCTCCCCATGGATTTGCTCAGAATAACATCCTAGGTTTCCACCCAGACAGCCTCCCATCCAGACCCAGACTAGCTTAATTTTGCTTAGCAGGGCTTACTCTGACTCAACACGCTTAGGAGATTGCACCAGCTCTCCAGGGTTTAGGAAGGGTGCCCTCCCAGCCCTACCCCGAGACCTTTAGTGTTGTTTGGTGGTCTTTCATCTAAGTACTAATCAGAGGTGTATCTTCACTGCAGAAATAATGCAGTTTGACACCACTTTAAGTGCTGTAATTCCATCCTTTGGAATCCTGGGATTTGTAGCTTTGCAAGGTCGTTAGCCTTCTCTGCCAAAGGATGCCTCACACAATTACAAATCCCAGGATTCTGTATGATGGAGCCACGGCAGTTAAAGCAGTGGCCAATTGCATTATTTCTACAGTGTAGCTCCATCCAACAACCAATCCTGATTAGCATTGGAAACCCAAATGGCATTGGGTGTATTTGCCATGGCAGATCAGCTGGTAGAGCTTCATTTTCAAATTTTCCTCTTTGAAACCAGCGGAAAAGAGAATATGCAAAGACAGGTCCAAAACACACTGCAGAAATAATCCAGTTTGAAACTCCTTTAACCGCCCTCGCTCAATGCTAAGGAATTCTAGGAAATGTAGTTTTGTGAGACATTTAGCCTTCTCTGTCAGAGAACTCTGGGGCTGCAATAAACTACAGGATTCCCTAGCATTGAGCCAGGGCAGTCATAGAATCATAGAATCATAGAGTTGGAAGAGACCACAAGGG